AACCATGCTATGTCTGGTGCATTTTTCTTAAATATAACGATACATAGCAACATGGCACATGCGAACAGAAAAACAACATCCACCAGTTGTTCTTTAAAAGGAACCTTGCAAGCCAAAACGGATAATGCCAGCCGCCCCATCAAAGCATGTTCAGGAGCTAATGAAGAAGGCGAAACGCATGGAAAAAAAACACACAGAAACTTCTTGTCCAAAACAGCGGCTATCCTGTTTGTTGGTTCTGCGTATATCTTTTTAAAAGTAAATCTATCAAAAAAAGGGGGAAAGTGTATGATCGTACAGATGTGCGTAGATACTGTAAAGTTGTAGATTTGGCTATATATGACACATGTATCGTATATATTACTGTGTGTATATTTATTGCTTCCCCCCCTCTATCCCTCGTTCCCTGGTACTTCTTACATTGCCATTGTTTTATTAACTCATGCATACACGCGCACACCCTTTATCTCGTGCTTTCGTTCGCAGCACCAGGATGACCTCAAGACACAGAATATTATTGCTTCTACATTACGACGAAATAGAAATGTTGCTAGAAATTTAGCTATGACAATTGAAGAAGCAACTCCATCAAAAGATAAGTTTCAACTAGAAGATATCGATTGTGTAGAAAGTGAAGATACCGGGGAAGACGTTCCTGCAGCACAAACACGAGGAGAAGCTTATTTAGATGGGGAGGACGAGATACAAGAAGAAGAAGATTCTGATGAAGACTGGGAAGAAGAACCTTCAAAGGACAACACATCATTTCTTAGGGGAGAAGCAAAAGTTCCCGGACCAGAAACAACGCAGGGTTCAGATGAAAAGGTCGGGGTCAAAACACATGACGTGCTAGCTGATGCCATATATGATGATGTCTCCACAGTCCCCAAATCACATGATGCGCTAGATAATGATAACACAAAAAGGCAAGGGAGGAAGCAACAAAGGATGGGAAAAGGACATACAATTGAGAAATATGACGGAAAAGTAGCAGAAGATAGGGAAAAATATGGAATCCATAGGTCGATTGAATTGCACTACGAAATGTCCTGTTTTGATGAAAGATTGACAGATTCTGAAATAAATACAACATTAGAACAAATGGAACAGGAACCTCATACATGGGAACTACTGTCTCTATACTGGCAATCATACAGAAATGAAAGAAATACATATTTTGCCCTTAAAAGATACTTAAAAGAAAAATTTTTAGAATTACAAAAACAACAAACTATTGCAACTATCCAAATATATAACAAGAAATGGAATAAGTGTGAAGACATAATTAATAATAACTTGACAAAACAACATGAACATGTTAGTGAAGTATTTTATACTATGGTGGCAAAGGAAAAATTGAGCACACATGAATTCAAAAAGATCTTAAATGATTTCAGAGAAACGTGGAAAGAACTCATTATTAAAACAGCAGTCGAATGTATAGCTGTTCTTCAAGAACCAATTTCTTTGGAACTCATATACGTCGAGAATGACCCTGGTGTCTTTGAGATGAGGGTTCCAGGTTTTATGGTTTCGCTCATGCCGTATGGCTCCAAGGGGAAATTAGATTCCAAAGTTGGAGCAGAGCGATCATCCCAAGTTTTACAGAATGAGGAACAAGGCGAAAAAGCAGAAAAGAAGCCCCAGGAATCTTCACTGGAGGGTGGCGCTGCTAAGCAAAAACCAGAACAAAATAATAAACATCCCGGCAGTCCTAGTGGAGAATCCTTTAAGGAACCAGTCGTTCAAGCTAAGGAAAAAGCTGCAAAGGACAATGCAGAATCTGTTACGGGAGCAACAAAAGTTCCCGGACCAGAAACAACGCAGGAATCAGATGAACAAGTAGAGGTCAAAAGACATGACATCCTAGCTGATGCCATATATGATGATGTCTCCACAGTCCCCAAATCACATGATGCGCTAGATAATGAAAACAACAAGGGGCAAATGACGGAGAATAAACGGAAACAGGCAGGACATACAATGGAGAAATATGAAGGCAAAGTAGCAGAAGATAGGGAAAAATATGGAATCCATAGATCGATTGAATTGCACTACGAAATGTCCTGTTTTGATGAAAGATTGACAGATTCTGAAATAAATACAAAATTAGAACAAATGGAACAGGAACCTCATACATGGGAATTACTCTCTCTATACTGGCAAGCATACACAAATGAAAGAGGTAAATATTTTGCTCTTAAAAAATCTTTGCAAGAAAAATTTTTAGAATTACAAAAAAAACAAGCTATTGCAACTCTC